TCTCAAAAATTTTCAAAATGCAATTCAGTTATGTGAAATATACTAAATTTGAAATTTATTTTTCAATCAATAAAAAAGAGAACGAAAAAACCACCGAAAAAAGTTTTTTATAAGAAAAAAAAGAAAAAAATTCAAAAATGGTATAATTGAGAAATTTTCGTTTTTTTCGAAAATTGAAAAAAAACTGAAGATAGGTCCAGATAATTTTCTATTTTTTTTTCAAAAAGTACATTCAGACACAAAAAAATTTGAAAAAAAAACGTCCCGATAACTCAATTTTTGAAAAAGTTATGGTTATTTAAAAAAAAAGCTTTTTTTTCAAAAATTCATCTTTTTTGAGTTGGGTGAAAAAAATTCTCAGAGGTTTTCAATGGGGTAGAAAACAATTGTTTTTTTTATTTCAATATAGCTGAAATCCGAAGGTAACCTGCTACAAGGATATTGTTTTTTGTATTAACTAAACCTCAAATTAAAATTTATTTACTTTTCTATACTTATACGACGTATTACGTATACTAATAAATATACCAACGCGAATGCGTATAATCAGTGACTAATTCTTGTTATAGTCACTGGTATAATCCATGCAATATTCAATGGACATCCCATTTTACCGGCTTTTCTAGAAACATCAAAGCGATTTGGAACACACAATATACAATTGAATTTGAACGTTATCAGTTGAGGCACGTGATTTCAATAAACTTATACAGTTTTACTTCATCTGGTATTTTGTTGCTTTTGAAATAAAAACAACCTATATTAATCCTAGGGTCACCCAGCAATAACTTTTTACTAACTTATTTTCCGTAATGATATACCGGATGATTTTTTTGACCTGAAACTTTCAACTACTTATCTCGAGAAATAAGCACTCTACGAAAAAAATTTTATAATCAAAATTTAATCATTCCGCGGAGGAAATACATTAGTCTTCCTGCCTTTAAGACCAATTTTGATTATTTGTAATGAAAACCTAGTATTTTTTATTAATGCAGACGTATTGCAGAATCGCATTAGGAGAAATAGAAAAAATTGAATTTCGTCATTACCTACGCCATATACCTATATCACGAATAAAAAAATGTTTCAGAGAAATTCTACGTACAAATCTTATAATTCGAGTCTGCAATAAAAAATAGGGGTTCCTATTTAAGATTACAATGTTATCCCCCGCCCCACCTAGGAGGGGGGAGAGGATTAACTTTACTAGAAATACTAATGTATTTCCTCCGTGGAATGATTAAATTATGATTATGGACATTTTTTTCGTAATATCAAACTTTCTTGGAATATAATAGAATACATGGAATACAAAGTTCATGAAAAAGCATCGTAATTATAAGCATTTAGTGACTTTTGAACAGACAATATATACAGGCAAGGCTTTTATGTAAAATTATAGAAAAGTGATATAAATTTGATCACAACCATATTTTCCTTAAAAATTCAATACTTAGCAAAAGAAAATATATTTGCCACATGCGTTATCATCCCCATTTCTTCCTGTGCTAAAATAGATTTAAAAAAATATATGTAGATGTAGTTAGGTATATATAAAATAATTTACCTGCTAGGTATATCAGTTCCTTTATCTTTAACAAAAAATATTCCTATAAAAATATTGAAGGAAATAATAGGCTTTTCTTTTAGAGCTATCATTACTATGATCATTTTATACTTAGTGTAAAATTCAGTTCTGATTACATATAGAAAAGAAGTACCTACCTAATTAATTAGTAGGTAATACTTTGACATAAAATCCCTTGATTGAGGTATTTAAATGCATGCACGACATGTAGATATGTTATTAAAAACCAGTTTTGTAAAAATTGTATATGTGCATAGAAAAGCACCCTACATATTTTACACTAAACATGAATTTATAGATTTGTATACATATATTTTCTAATTTTAATAGTTAATATTAAGTGGTTATGTTTTTACTATGAACATTTTTAACTGGCAATTTTGGGGCCATTTGTAACAGAACTTTTAATCTTGTTACCGATAGAAACTTATTTTCGCTAAATAGATACCAACAACTGTCATTTTGATGTTCTAATTTAAGTAAAATAAAAGTTTATCACCATTGTGTATGTGTTTCTTTTATTTTCTTCAAAAAATAAGTGTACCTACCCTCTTTTATTGCTTTATTTTATTTCATAATACTACAAGTTTTTTCTAAATATCGTACAGCATTCATTGTATTGATGTATCCATAAAAAATAATTAATTAATAGTATAAACCTATATAAATAAATAAAATATAAATAACATTTTCTAGATACCTACTTCTCTACTACTAAATAATTGATATACTGATAACTTCGTAACACTAATATAACTAATGAGCTAAATTTAAACTGAAATATGTTAAAAAACTGATGTTCAGAAAGAGTTATTACAATGATTTAAAAAAGTTTAAAAGTTGTTAATTTTTTTAACCTATTTATTAATTTACTATAACTGCGCATGCGGCGTGCACCGATACCACTTACGACAGCATTCAGTATTTAAAATGGGTATCGATATAAATTTAATATTTTTATTAAACCTGATTAATAAAATGGGTACAAACTACCTAAGTTACTGGGGCTAATAGTATAATATTCAGAGCCCAGTAGACAGTTATCAAATTTCAGATTAAAAAGCTATATAAATTAATCGCACACTACATGGATTCTTTTATTGTTAATAAGATAGCCTGAGAACACAATTACCTTTAGGTAACAGCAAAAAATTGTGAAGAGTACTCACCTGCATAGAAAGCATTCGGAGGCACGCCAGTTTTCAAAAATGGCAACGTTATAATTTAGTTCACGAACTAATATACAAATATGTTGCTTTATTTCACTTATGCATTAAATAAATGATAGATTTTTATTTTAAACACACATTTTAAACACACCTAAAACCGACGCCGAATCTGTACATTTAAAGCTGAAAGTTGTCAACTGTAGATGCTCAATTGTTTTTTTTTTATAAAATTGCCACCAACTTAAGAAAAACAATGAAAAAAGTTTTGAGTTGAAATGAAAAGAAATAAATCACTATATGTAGGTAATTCAGTTTTTAATTAAACAGAAATTAGATCATGCAGAACAAATATTTTATTGTAATATTTCAAATTTAATATACAAACATGCCATAATATAAAATTAATGTTCTATGCAAATCCAAAGAAGAGAAGTAAGAATAAAATATTAGGAAAGGAAATAGTTTGTAGCAGAAAGAAATGTTCTGTTCCATGTTGATAGTTTTCTATGCATTATGTGTAGTATATACAGAGTGGCCCATTGAGAACTAGAAGTCCCTTCAAGAAATTTTTTGAGATACACCATTCAAAGTAGTTTTTTATACAGGTAGCCTTCACCTTCGGGCATTTTCAGTGTTTCCTACATTTTTAAATTGAAACAAAAACTATATAAATTTAAAATTTAAGAAAGATGCCATAAATTCAGGGGCTCGTAGATAAAAAATAAGATTTTTTTAAAATAAAATTTTAACCGTATCTTCTTCATAAAACACTAAAACATTTCAAAATTTGATACAGATAAGTTTTTGCGGATGCTGAATACATCAGTGTTTTTCGTTATTGACCATCTGCTAGATATCGTTAGTTACAATCTTTGTGTGACATTTTATGCCAACTTTTTATAAGCCGACCTCTAGCAGACGGTGTAAAACCAATAACACTGGCATATTTATAATCCTTAAAAATTTACTTGTACCAAATTTTATTGCAATATGCTGTTCTCTGAATAAATTATAGCTAAAATTTGACATAAAAAAACAATTTTAGACACTATCTCAAAAAAGAAAGACAATAGAGATATATGTGGAGAATCCTGAGGCTTAGGTCCCAAACAACACTGGCTATATGTGATGATAGAAGTACATATAGGTATTATGTATCTGTCCCACAAGGGAAGACTGGGTTCTCTATATTCGCCAAAATGTAACTCTTACTGGGAATCTGGATAACAAAGTTATTGGCTGTCTTGTCTACCTGTTGAGTGACATGGGACTTTAGTAGTGAGCCACAACGGAGGGTCGCATTGGAGGACGTTCTTTTTTTTTGTCCAATCATCAGAACTATGTCGTTTTATGGTCCACTTATCAGAACTGTCTCGGAATGAGCTTTGCCCTTGCTGGCCCCCTGCTTATAACCTTGAATTAAAAAACGGAAAATTCTGGTAGTAAAATCCTTGCATTGCTAAAGTTAATTTTATCTAAATGACACGTCCATGATAAGCTAAATTAGATATCGTTACCCTATGACCCAGTTAAGGTGAAAAGTTCACAAAAAACAATTTGTGCCGAAGCCACATTTCAAGGAAACGAACAATATATATTTTTTACGTAATTCTTATTATAAAGATGAATTATAAATACATACCTTCTTAAAAAAAACTACAATTTTCTAAGAATAAAAACCGCTTATGTTTTTAAAACATTTTATTTCAAAATACATACATAAACTAACATTAAAATTTAGATAAGGCACAACAACTCCAAAAGCTATTGAATTAAGAACTAAATTAATTACAAACTGAACCATAACACATTTTACTTATAATAAAAAAATATTATGTGTGTTAATACATAAATGATATGATTAATTCTTGTTTACCGTGGAAACGGTATTAATACTTAAAATAACTAAAAAAAAACTAAATAAAAACAATAACAGAAACCTAAAACAGCACTTGAAATCAAGACAAGACAGTAGTGTAGGTCTCCCACCATATACTAATATATATTTAAATATATATTCTCGAAAAATATTATTTCTTTACACGATATACAAGTCCTAAACTAATTAGTTACTGCAAGCCTTAACCAATATTGGCTGTTTATTATTTGGCAATTTTATTAAGCTATAATTAAAGCAGTTAATAGGTACTAAAGCATTTAAAGTAGAGTATTTGATATTTTTACCAGTGATATTTATTCCATAGGGAATGCATACAAAGTATTGCACCAAGTGGCTTTACAAATATTTTTTAAAGTCGCTTCATGCGACACTTAACATTCCTTAAAAGCATAAACATTAATCGATGTAAACAGAAAGGTGTATTACTCTTCCTGTTTGGCCTTATATCACACAGAACTCATCACTTGTCGTAGGCACTCAGTGACAAATTTATCTTTATCGTTAACCAAACCACCCAACAGCCCTTCTAGACTGTTGAGAGCTTCCTCTGAGAATTTCTGACCAATAAGGCTCGTGACGACATTTACTTCTCCTGTGATACATTCCGGAGATAAACCAGGCGGGACTAAAAGCGTTACATCGCTTATTCTACCTTGTTCCACAGTCATCGTTACTCTAACGTCACCAGCGGCTCCGTAGCTGTGTACTAAACTGTCTGGTACAGTGAAGGACTTTGATATGTTGAATTTTGGCGTCTTGCCATAGCACCATTCCCAACCAACAAATTGATCTCGAATTTCATTTATGCCTACAAAAACAGTCTTAATTGACTTAAATTTTTACAGTTAAAGGTCATATAGAGAGAATAATTTATATAAAAATATATTACCAGGGAACCATAAATTGGTTGGGTTGACCAACTGAAAACCTTTCTGTTTATTGGCTAGTTCCATGCCGCCATCCATCACATTTAAAGCTGGCGTTCTCATGTATTCCCAACCAACTGCTTTTATTAAGTTAGTTATAGAAACGTTTGGATTCTCTTCACATAAATTCATTATTTTAGATTTTATCGACTTTGTAGCATTAGTTTTTATGTCAACCTTCAAAAAGAAATAAATACTATTAATGAAAATACTGAATTAAGAATAATCGTCTTACAATGAAAATTAGATATTTAATTTTAAAAATAATATGTCGTAATCGTAATCAATAAATGTTCAACAAATCGTCGCTGACTGCATAGAGGTGTAGTTATTTGAGTAACTTTTCAGGAAAGCAATACATTATAAAGAAAAATCATTATTCATAAGCATTGCTCTTGTGGTACCACCTTAGAACTACACTGCTGTAATGAAAATATGTTTTAACAAAATTCACCTCTATCCAAAGTTACTCATTAACCGCTAGGGAGCGTTGAGGTTGATACCATATTTTAGTTTTTTCCAATGGACTAAAACATTTGATCTGATTTAAATCAAATTTTGGTATGATAATATTTATTACAAATGGGCACTTTTCGGAAAAGTGTGTTACGGACATGTCCATTGGACATGTCGGGAAAAGTACTTTTGACCTTGAATCTAATAAGGCACCTATGAGTGACGTCATGTCTACACAGGTCACTGCCTGAGGGTACACAAAGCAATTTATTCTAATGAATAATATGTGTCTTATTAAATGTTATTTATTGTTTATATTTTTGATTAATTCTTTATCAGAATGCCTCATTTTTTTTTAATATAAAACAAAAAATTGTGAAATCGTTTTTTCATCCTACTGGAATTCTTAAAAATTGTTTTTGAGCAGAAGTTACATTTATAATGATTTTTACTCAATTCAGAAAAATATAACCAAACTGTTGAGTTTGGCATCATACTTCATTTATAAACTATTTGTGTATTAAATATTAAATTAAGAATCAACTGATTACTATTAATCGTTAACTTTGCCAAAAATAATAAAATATGACCATACAAAAGAGGTTATATTTTTAAAATGTCAGTTTCAGTTAAACAATTATCAACAAAATTACAAGAAAATGCCTAATAATCTTTAATTTCATTTATAAACTATTTGTGTATTAAATATTAAATTAAGAATCAACTGATTACTATTTACTAATCGTTAATTTTGCCAAAAATAATAAAATATGGAATTATGAATGCAACAAATAATTCCGCGCATGCGCATACAACTTTTCAATCTTGAAAAGTGTCCTCAGGATATGTTCATTTTTCACGACATGTCCGATGGACATGTCTAGCTAACATGTCTGCGGCACATCTCTAATATTTATATAGAGACGTCACTTTTCGATATAGTAGCTGAGTTAATAAGTTATCTTGCAATTTTAGTTCTTGTTTTATCATGAAGGCTTTTACTCCAGCTTTCGTCATAAAATTTTTGTGCTTCTAACAGTTGTTACGTAATTAGTTTATTAGTCATCACCAATGCATTTTCAGTACAAATCTGACTTGTTTTATTTGATAATAAAAGTGAAATAATGCTTTGTAGAGTAGAGAAACATGTAACTTGTGTATTATTTTTCATTAAAATTTTTGGATTACAATTTTCAGTAACTCATGACTGACACAAAAAAAATACTTTTAGAATTTCCTCATTCTACAAATTATGAACAGTAGTTTCGAATTCATCAAATTTAAAGCTCTTCAACTAAGAATAGTCGCATAGATTCAAATTTGATAAAACCACAATTTACGAAACTGGAGTAATTCTTTATTGTTAGTAAAAGTGGTGATAAATACCAATAAATTTCATGGAAAATCGTTGATTATAAAATATTTAATTACAAAAAATTCTTGCAAATGTAATTAATTCAGTTACTATGTCAAAAGTGACATCTATAAGCAAGTGCCAAATTTCATTTAGAGTGGACAAAGGGTATTAGAGCTATTTGGAAAATAATATTTTTTTTTTATACCTTTTAATGGCTAAACGAAGCAACTTTGGATAGAGATAGTTAAATGAAATTACTTTGACCACAAGAATCTGAGGTATTTCTATATGTATATGGGATACTAAGAACTCCTGCCGGCGGGGGTCAGCCAAGACAAGAGGAGGTGTCACAAAGCGACTACACTGACCACACTTGTGGTCGGGATCGATGGCGATTGGGGCCACCCTTCGGAAGGCTGTCCAGGCCTACAGCGATGAGGCAGGACAAAGAGGGATATTCCCCCTCGATTCCAAATCATTTAGACTACCAACACCGCCAAAAATAACGGCGTGTGGGATACTTAGGCTGAATGTATGCTTTTATGACCCTGATTTTAATTTCAATAAAAGCTTTTTTGCAAAATCAGCGATGATATGATTACACAAGAAAATTATGAAAGTAAATATCAGTAGTTTAGACCTACGTCTTGTTTTTGGAGTGCCAAATTCAAATCCAGTTTATTGGCCTTTACTAACAGAGTACAGTGATGATAAGCATTTGGTCGTCCTAATTTTGAGGCAGTTCCAGAAACCTTCAAAGCATTAAGGAACTATTCAAGATAAAAATCATAATCGGCATATTACTCCAAAGTGGAATAAACAGAGAAAGTACATGAAAATTAAATGCATAAAAAAAATTATCATTTAAAATAATTCTTTAGAAACATTAAAGATCTTACGACAATGTAAATATTCTTGCCTAATACAAAAATAAAGAAAATAATAGACACAGGTTATAGAAAGGTTACAGGAGATAAAAAATAATGTGTTTACAAAGAGCCTAAATTTAAGAGAGGAGATAAGAAAACATAATTAACATCCAAGGCTAATCGAGATGCTGTTTATGTCAAAATTACAAGAAATATCTTATCATGCGTTGTCTTGCTGTTACTATAATATACACAATCCTTTATATAAATATATAAAAAAAAATATGTCAACAAAAACTATAGGCTTTTTTCGCGACTGAATATTGGTGAATATCTGACTTGTAGTTAAAATTTATGTATAAATCTTTCTAGGGTCTATAATGTATGTTAAAAAATAAATGGTAACATGATCTTATATGGCAATACATATTCTAATTGTTTTTTCGTTATACATGCAATTAGACAAAGTAAAATATTAAAATTTTCGGAGCTTCCAGTTCATTCTAATATACATAGATAGATGCAAATTGCTTCCTAAATTAGATAAATGTTGACCTCTAACATTCTAGTACCCTCTGGTTAAGGTTCATAATAGAATTTGAGAAAGCATTTACGTTTTACTTCATGCAACCTCTGTCTTTGTACGAAATTACATCTTAGTTCTGAAAGTCATTCATTTAAGTTAAATATGCCATCCAATATAACAAAATTATATTTATTTAACATACATCATTTTTTTGATTAATTTCATTGTCAATATTGGATAATTTAAATTCATTAATACCTTTTCTTGTTTTTTTTTTTCACTAGATAACATTTTACTTACAACCGTTCGAAATATTAATCTATCATTATCATAATTCTTTAAGTGAGACTGAAAATTATAACCTTTATAATAAGGACATCGTAAGACAAAAAAATTCAAACAAATTATATGTAGTTGCTTTAGTAAAAAAGGATACTTTGTAATTTCGGACAGTTAAGTCTTCTCGTGGTGATATTTCAGCTTTGAGTCCGAACTCTCTAAATAAAGACCTTGTAATAATTTCCAAATTATATTTTCTATTGTAGTGTTCTCTTGGTGTGAAAAATGTTAGATTCAAATTTCCATTATCATGGTAAACTGTTCCTCCTCCACTGTTACGTCTTGCTAGTCTTACCCCCTTATCTGTAATGTGAGGTAATTCCGGTACATTGGCTTCTAACCACGGATTTTGATGGCGACCTATCACTACACAAGGGTCACTTTGCCAGAGCATTAATATATGGTGATTTTTGAAGTTTACATTACGGTATATCCAGTCTTCTAAAGCTAAATTTGTGTAAATGTCTTTTGACTGGGAAATGTAGACCGATTTTCTAATGTCTTTTTCTTCGACAGATTTTGAATAACAGCGGACACTGATACGAGTAATAAAAGAGCTGATTTTTACATATGTGCGCTGCACTAGTGCCATTTTGTATGAGTTCCTTTTTAAACAACACTACGATAATAATTCTTGCAGATGTTGTGCCTAAAGACAGTCTTCTAATGGATCAAGAAGGCTCTAGGATACGAATTTTTAGAAGATGATGTTAAGGAGATCAGAAAGTCGTGAAGGGTGATTGTTTGATGTAACCACTTCCAGGTTTGGTGAAGAGAATTCAAACGAACACGAAGTTCTAGACAGTCTTTGGTACCTCTCAGCATTCCTCCCTTTGCTGCCAGATTGAAGAAACAAAAACAACCACTTATTAGAGGGTTAATAATTATTTTTACAACACACAATAACAAATATTTTTGTAACCGAACACACTTATATAAGAAGTGAGGTTATACACGAAAATCGTCAACTGCCAAGCAATTAATTACAGATTGACTTTAAATTAAAACGACTTTACCATTTTATATGAACTATCATCTTCACGGGGGTCATTTATCTCTACCAAGGGTCATACTTTATCATGTATAAACGGACAAAAACACAAGGCCCAGTTCTACTTGATATGGTTATCATGTGATGTGACAGCTTTTAACTTCATTTAATTGTGCAAAACTATTTAAAATTAATTCAGACCCTTCGCATTACTTATAACCGATTCGTAAAAACAATTATTTAATTTTTATATTTAAAACATCCAACCAATTTCTACATAAATATTTTTATTTTTTATCATATGTATTGCTAATTTCGATTTAGTCCATAGTTCATTTTGATCAGATATACTTACATTGCGTTATATAAAAACACCTTTTTAATAAGTAAACAAGGGTCTATAACAGTAACGTAAAAGAGTTATAAATCGTGGATGGTATTTACATATTTAAATTTGCATGTTTTCGTTTATCATATCTGAACCTGCATTTAATATATAATATATATAATTTCTTTTTTAAAACGGTGGACTACTCAAGACCGTAACAAAAATTTATTTGATAAATTTCCATGCATTCTTAAAAATACTTTTATCAAATTTTAACCCAATAAATCGATCAAAAGGTGTCACAAATTTCCTATTTTTGTGGCACCGTTTTATCTGGGAAACCCACAGAGCATCGGGAAACCAATTTTATATTTACCTAACAATTTTTGACCCAATAAATTGCCCACCGATTTAATTATTAAATTGGAACTAGTTTAATTTCATCAATTTGTTGGTCAATTTAATGAAGCTATTGTATATATAGTATGTCTGAAATTGAAATAGAATTCCTAAAATGACGAATATCAATTCTATTTTCTGTTTCCAAATGGTCTCCAGTTTCCTGACCAGTTTACTAAAGTTAGGAAAGGACCCCGCACAAACCTTATGGGAAATGGTTCCCGGTTAAATTGGCTGAATTTTTTATATGTTACGTATCTCGGCGTCCTGAATAAATGTCTTCATGGGCGCAAAGTCCAAAACTCCACGGGTTCCGAGATAAATCCACCTAACCCCTAGAAACCACCCCCTACCAAACCACAAGCAGACCGTGAGAACAGCGAGTTTATTCGCTTATTTTTCTTGAAATAATTAAATTCCATACCACAAGCATGCTAACCCGCCTACCCCTACCTAACCCCTAGAAACCACTGCCGCCAAAACACAATCAGACAACTCACTTAACTCTAGGAACAGCAAGTTTAGTTGCTTATTTTTCTTGAAATAATTAAATTCCATATCATAATCATGCTAACCTGCCTACCCCCTATCCCACCTAAACCCTAGGAACCAACCCCACCAAAACACAATCAGGCTGACTCACCTAACACTGGGAACAGTGAATTTAGTCGATTATTTTTAATGAAGTAATTAAATTCGACACCACAAGCATGCTAACCCGCCTACTCCCTATCCCACCTAACCCCTAGAAACCACCCCTACCAAACCACAAGCAAATAAACCCACGTAACCCTGGAGACAGCGAGTTTAGTCAATTAGAACTGATAGACCTGTTCCCAGGGTCAGGTGGGTTAGCCTACTTGTGGTTTCGTAGGGGTGGTTTCTAAGGGCTACGTGGGTTATAGGGGGTAGGCGGGTTAGCCTACTTGTGGTGTGGAATTTAATTTTTTTAAAGAAAAATAAAAGATTAAAGTCGCTGTTCTCAAGGTCAGGTGGGTTAGCCTACTTGTGATTTGGTAGGAGTGGTTTCTAAGGGCTAGGTGGGTTATAGGGCGTAGGCGTGTTAGCCTACTTGTGGTGTGGAATTTAATTTTTTTAAAGAAAAATAAACGATTAAAGTCGCTGTTCCCAAGGTCAGATGGGTTATTAGCCTACTTGTGGTTTGGTAGGGGTGGTTTCTAAAGGCTACGTGGGTTAGGGGGTAGACGGATTAGCCTACTTGTGGTGTGGAATTTAATTTTTTTAAAGAAAAATAAACGCTTAAAGTCGCTGTTCCCAAGGTCAGGTGGGTTAGCCTACTTGTGGTTTGCTAAGGGTGGTGGTTTCTAAGGGATATGTGGGTTAGGGAGTAGGCGCTTTAGCCCCCTTGTGGTGTGAAATTTATTTATTTCAAGAAAAATAAGCAAATAAATTTGCTGTTTCCAGGGTCTGCTTGTGGTTTGGTAGGGGTGGTTTCTAGGGGTTAAGTGGGTTCATCTCGGTACCCGTGGAGTTTTGGCCAATTTGACCGTGAGCCAGTTCCCATAAGGGTTTTGCAGGGTCGTTTGTCCCAATTTTAGTATTAGATGGCTGACAACTTATTGAGCAAAAACAGTTAAAGTACTAACGTTTAAACTTTTGAAAATCATGACATATTCTTTATATTTGCCCACAAATATAAAATACTGACATGAAACTGAATACACAATTGGGAAAATGCAAAAGTTGGATTTGAACTGCTGGAGTTTATAACATTTTCTTGATACTGCTATTTGCTATTTACCACAGTATTCAATTCTAGCAATTATAGAAATTTCCTGGAGTAACTAATTACTTATAAATCACATTAACTTACCCGTCACTGTCACTATAAAATATTAATTCACTTCTGTGTTTAACAACTCAATAAAAATGTGTCAATAATTTGACCAAAATATGACACAAAGTTGTACGCAGTAGATACAATGGAAATTATTTTATGTAATTATTCATTTCTAAATCAGCTGAATTAATCCCATTGTATAGCACAATAACGTAGCATGACAAAATTGGGACATTGTCTTCATTATGTCCTTACTCACATTTAATGTATGCATTCCACATATTTTATAATGTATTTGCAAATGGGAGTAAAATATAAATGTTTGTTTATTTTTTTTAAACACATTTTTATCCACCTTAATGAACATGGAGATAAAATACATAGTATCCAAAAAAAACTTTATTAAGTTATAAAAATAGGTAGGTACGTATTAAAAATATAAAAATTAAAATTAGAAATACAAAATGTCACAAAAAATGGAATGTATATTTTTTTAATAATTTTTTTACCACACACATCCAAAATGACATAGTAAGAGAGTTTTATATATATATATATATATATACGTTTAGTGTATGAAGGGAATATATTTCCAATTTAAATTTCCTGTAAAATCATTTTGGATGGATAAGTTATAAAGAATACAAAATTACTGACCAATGTACTTGAAACACTACCAGCTCAAATAACGAAAATTGACTAGACATAATTTTCAATAAAATCTACTTTTGTTAAGTACGTAAGCTTAATTTCGCTGCATAGAACACTTTATATTTTATGTAGGATTTTAATAATGGACAGATCTTAGAGTATTAACCCCTTAACGTGTGAAATTTTTTAACAAAAACATGTAAAAAAACTACAAAACCGCTTTTGTATTTGTGCATAAAACAATGTTTTTATATAAAAATGCGCTTACCCGAGTTAACTCGTGCATACAAAAAACGGAAGAAGCAATAATTATAAATTAGCTTTAAGAGGGCTCTATAGCAAATAGGCAACCAGCAATACATTTTTATAGATTACATTCCACAGTTTGTCTAAATATGAATTAATGCACAAATAACAGACTTTCCCCCATTTTAAAGCAGATTTTCTATAAAATGGACTTAGTTTGAAACTCAAATAACTTTTCGGTGTAAAGAAATTTGTAATTTACAATGTCGCTTGTACAAATGCGACAAATTACAAATTTCTTCACAAAAACTAATTAGAGTTTATAGAAAATCTGCGTTAGAATTGAGGAAAGTCTATTATTTGTGCATTGATTCATATTTACACAAACTGTGTAAGATAATCTATGAAAATGTATTGCTGGTTGCCTATTTGCGATAGAGTCCTCTTAAATATTTTATCTGGTAAAAGATAAAACAAAATGAGTATTAAAATAGTAATAGAGACTATTAGTGTCATGGTGGTGTAGTGTATACATTCAATGAAAAAATAGGGACCCGAGTTATAGCGATGTGATTGCCTGCGTTAATTCAGGTAAACGCGTTAAGCGGCTAAAGTACAAATTCAAATGAGTATTTAAAAAAACTGTTTCCTAATTAAACATTTTTAAATATCAATCTCAAAATTCTTATTAAATATTTATAAAAAATATAAATCTCGGAGTATTATCGTACGAATTTAAAACATATTTTGACAACTGTTAAAAACTCTTGCTCTACCTATCCATAAGAAAAAAACATTGAGAACACTAACTTTTCAAGAAGCTGCACTGACTAAAATAAGTAACATATCAACAAGCTGCCACAAAAAATCTTAACGCAATATTATTTGGCAAATTATTAACACAGAATTTCACTAATACTAAATCGAAGAAAAACCCTCAAAATATTAGAGTATAGATATTTTCAGGACATTAATGTAAATGTAAAGTAGTGCCAGACTTCACGCTTTTTGAAATATTCGCTTTTCTTTTTCAGTTAGGTGTAATCCGGAATTATTCTGGATTTGGTAACTATAGTCATACAACCCCATTACTGAACATGTTTCTGTTACTTTAATATTAATACATCTTGTCAGCAGTTATCAAACTGGTAGTAACAGATAAATATACATATGTAAAAAAAATGAATAAAGTAATACTTAATGTTAATACATTATCTTTAGAATACAGGTCTTACGGCTAGTTCCATATCGGGATAAAATTGCTCATACTGGAAATTAGAGAAGAGGTTGAAATTTAAATAAGGAATGAGATTGTTTTCCTTTAAGTTTGTGAGAGAGTCCACTAAATCCACAAACTTTGGTCGTTCGTCACAATCCAGCTGCCAACAATCCAACATGATTTGGTAAAGATCGTCACTGATGTACTGTAGTTGTGGAAGACGCAGACCTTTCATCACTCTCTCAGGAATTTCATTGTTGTTTGAGGTGTTGCCATAAGGCGTGCCACCTGAAAAGAAATTAACAATAATTTTCAAAACATTACGTTGCAACAGCCTAATGCGTACCTAAAACACATATTTCCCAAAGCAGACAAGAGTATGACCACACGTCACTCTTATAATTAGGCGGTTGGCCCTTGAACACTTCCAAAGCTGTCCATCTGGTATAATCCGGAATTTTATTGTGGCTAAAGTACTGAGCTAAACCGTAACTACTAATTTTTGGCGTAAATCCATTTGATATCATCACACTTCTTGCACATAACTGTTTATGGATTACCTAGAAATGTAAATAATTTATGATCAACAAAAAAGTGAAAAAAAAAAATAGTTCTTCGGAGAAAAAAAATGTATTAATTCATTCTCTCCCAATGGTAAACACACGTTCTTTTTTTGCTGAAGGCTTTGATGGCCATAAGTACTTTTATTATCATTATTGAAAAAAAAAAAAATACCTTGCAAGCCTCCAGGTGAGCCATGCCACTCGCAATCTGTATAGCAATGTCCAATGCTTGAGCCTCCGACATGTTGCTAAATCTACCAGGCAAAGTATCTCGACTTCCTAACAACAAGTCTTTGAGATTCATCGATACATAATCCAAGATGACGGAAACCACTTGAGCAGTTTCACAAGTGCCAATGAGGCTAATGAGATTCTCGTGTTTCCCAACTTTGATCAGCACATCTAGATCCTGCAGCATAGATCGTTTGGTTTCCTGAGACATTTTTTTGTCTTGAATGCTGTACGCTGCCACTGGAATTAAAGTGTTATTTTCATGTATAGTTCCGCTGTTCACCCTGCCGTATTTCCCAACGCCAAGCAGATTTGTGGGTTCTATTTTCAACTGATTAGAGGAAATTGTATGGACTTTTTGTTTCAAAACTCTGTAGTGGTTAATAGGAACATGTTCTTCTTCGTGGATATATCCATTGTTTTCCTAAAATGCAACAAATTTTCATTTAACACAATTATGAATAAAAGAATTAGGATATACTCATAAAAAAATTACTTACAACTTCGATCATGGGTCCTTGTAAAGTTAATTCTTGATTATCCGACAACCGTTGTCGTCTGTTGATGACTCGACTTTTCAGTATAATGAACACAATGATTCCTGCAATCAACATAAAACTCAGTAACCCAATTGCAATGGAAAGTCCGATAATAACAGCAGGTGAATCTCCACCCAAATCATCAGGATTTACGTTGAGAATGAAGACTCCGTTATGTGTACCACTAGCATCACTATAAGCAATTTTTGTTATTCCATTTAATTCACTTATTACAGCCAAAATTATGTTATAGTTTATGCTAGGATCTAGGGGGGCATTGTAATATCTTCCATATTTACGCCCATCACCTACTACAAATTCCCCGTCTATATCCTAAAAATAAAACATAAAATATTGTTAAAGCAAGGAAAGTTAAATAATTAAGTCAAATTTGCAACTCTCCATTAATTAAACACATTTTATCGTAAATAAAAATACATTGGCAAAATAAGTTATCGCCAGTAAAATATAAATAAACATTTTACTGTTTAATTTACTAACAATTATTTGAAAAGATTGTGTAAAGTGTGAATTTTAGAAGTAAAATAGTTAAATAAACAGAATAATAAGCTATCATGAAGAAAGATTAGTACCTAGACTATTTTCGAGGACACTTTATGTGGTGTTTAAATAATCTCTTATTATGATGCAAACGGTTTGATATTTCTATTAGAAGATTTTAAGGAAACAAATCATACGACAATCGCATAAATGATCTACTAAACCAAAAAGCGAAATGTATGTTAATACTCATGTTATAATTATGGCCTGTTTGATTAAATCTTATTTGAATAATTTGATTCAATTCACTAATTTTCACATAATTTGTATCAGATGAATAATGTATAACATTACATGGTAAACATGATGCTACACTCTAGTTGTGTAGCTATTCAAACAAAAGTATTGAGAATATATTTATTCTTTATATTTTGACAAGGTGTAGTGTTAATTGAAGAAAAAATAAATAAACAATTAATCTATATATATTTTATTAAAAATGATGTATTTGAATTTCATACTCTTTTACTGACTAGGTAACTGTACTTTCAGATACACAGTGATTACAATAAGTATAAACATTTTCAGTTATATACAGCATGTCCCTGAAAGGTTGGGTCACAATATTATTTTTTTTGGGTTCGCCTTCCCCCTTCCACACTACTGTATTTGAGTACCTATTTGAGAATATCGTTTTTATATTTAGAGCAATTCTATGCATGAAATAAGAAAAAAATATACAGGGTGTCGCGCTTAAATGTGATACAAGCTTGTAGCTCCTTTGTGTTTCGACCGATTTCAAAAATTTTTTTTTAGAATGTAGGATAAAAAACTAACTGTAATGTTGCTGTTTTTATTAATGCAATTTATGGCCAACTAGGACGCGTTTTTTTTTTTTTGACGGCAAAACAGCTAATTGGTATTAGCGATTTTTTTTCCAAAAAACAGGTTACATATTTTCATTCAGCATCCCTTAAATGTCTTATCACCAAGTTTTATATCAAATTCGATACATCTTCAGACGAGCACCAGTTGGCTGTGTATTGCATTAATAAAAAACAGCAGTATCACAGTTAGACCTTGTATAGAAACTTACCTTAGGCAGTAATTCAGCAGCTATGTAGTAGGACAAACCATTTTTCTTGGCTTCTTCGTAAGATAACACGCTATCTTTATCAAAACCTTGCTTCACATCTTCATCTACAACTATTACTCTATAAGCTGTTACTGGACCATTGTTGTTAATTGTCGGCATTATTTTTATTTTTATTTTAGACCCCTCGTGCTTTACGATTTCCGGTTGCGTTGGTAAATTATCAGGATCTGTGAATTAAAACCAAATATACAATATTAACGATATCTTATATAAGTAAAATTCTTACCTGAAATTTTAGTTTCAATAACCTTAAACACTAAAGCTCCATTGCCATTTGGAGATTTTGTCGATAGAGTAATATTATATTTCGTCCCGGGCAACAAAGTAATTAATTCTGTCTGAAAAGTATTATTAGAATACATCCAATTAGGACTAATAGGAGAAAATCTTGAGTAGGTTCGAATTATTATTGCTCTGATTTGATATGATGTAATTTCTACGAACGATTCTGGTTCTTGCCATGTCAACCTAACACTAGTTTCCGTGACATTTGAAACAGTGAAATTTCTTGGTGGACCAGGTACTAAAATTTTAATGTTTATTAGATCTTACTTCTTGCTTCTTGCTATATGATGATGTGAGAAAATAACTACTTTCCAACGGTAACAGTAGAGAAGTATAAATTGATACTGACAACTGATTAATTCCACAATCGCTTACCTAAATTTCCTGTGGCATAAATATCCAACAAATTCTGAGACGGGTCACAAGAGTCGCAGTCACTACATGTGGCATTAGTAACTTGCTCGCCCTGATAATTTCCACAGACACACTGCCCATTATTGTAAATATATGCATATCTAAAAGTTAAAAAAAGTTGCAAAGAACTTACATTTTAAATAAACTGGTAAGGTACCTGTAGTATTTTTCATAACAAATATTTAGACATGGGTCTTTCTTCTGAAGCTGTGGTACAGTAAATGTTCTCAGCATAGGTAAATCTTTATAGCAACCCAGAAACGTATATTCATAACAAACAGCATAGCAAATGATTACAAAAAATAAAAATGCACGCAGCATTTTAAATAAAGTTTAATCAGTCTTAAAGCTTACTAAATGAGTAAGTGTATTAGTCATTTAAGAATTTTTCTAACCTCCTAACAACGTTTGTTCAAATGTATTCTTCTAAATACCAATATCCTCATTTCACCTGGATTTAGCAGGTCACATTGCAGTCAATTTTTATTTAAAACAATTTGATGTTTGGTCGATTTATGTTTACTTCAAGTACATTAAACCTACGTCTAGACTTCTCAGATATGTTTTGTTGAACTTTTGAGGTTATGTTCAACTAATGTTCTTGGTCACGCCCATTAACCATTAAGCATTAAGATTAAGCACTAAGCAGATAACCGATGTGTAAGGAATGATCTCATCATCATTAGACGTCAGAATTTGTTTACGTTTTCTATAAGCGAACCATGAAATATGATAATTTTATACAGAACTGACTCCAATTTACTGATAAAAGTGATTTTATAATAAAGTTTTAATTATATATTAATTTCACAGATAATTATATGGCTTTGTGAAATTTTTGATAAATAATAAAAAAGTATATCATTTCAAACGGTTCTTATACTTCTTATAAATGTACACTATTTTTGTCAGTGTAAATCAGTGTGTATATTATTTTTTTTAATGCCTGATTGCCTGAGATTTTACGATAGGCGCCACGTTAGAGGACCTGTAGGTGCCAAGATCTGATACCTACAGGTAAGTAAGTACTTCTACACAGATTCTAAATTCTAATAAATAAAATATACTTACTACAGATCTACATATGTACTCAGAGACAATAAAATATGTACCTATGTCCTATGTGCAGACTGATCAGACACGTATTTCAGCATTTCCAATAACATTCAGGTTTCATTCTAAACTTCCATTATCATTTGACACAATACCAAAAACGGTTATTGTTATGTTTACTATAACTACAATATTTAACTCATACTTAATACAGTGCGAGCAAGTCCATGAAGTTACATGTAAATTTACATGTTTCTCCAAATTTATTAATATGAACAGTAAATTTTAACTAAATAGATAGGTATAATATGTAATATATCTATTTTCTGTTTAACAAGGTCCCTTTTGTACGTCACTGGAACAATCAATTATAGAAATTTTTCAGTGGCGAGAGGTGAGGCCTTCTGAATTGAATATTCCACTTTAAAATAAAATAATGTATGCATATATTTTACACTAAATCTTTAGATTTTAGGTACATTGTAATCAAAATCAGATTCCTACCAAACCACATTTATCTGCTAAACAGTTTCTTAATCCCGCTAGTTTTACTGTTATACCCATCAGAATGATTTTAATTAGGTATTTGACAGAAGATATTACTGTAATAAGTTATAAAAATTTCGTTTCTATATTAAATTTTTCAGATTTAGCAGTTTCCTATGCTTGTCCGTCTCTCTCGCTTTTAGCTTCCAGTGTATTGATGAATTTTGCATCTCAGACTCCGAGTGAGTAGGCACTTCAGATATTCTACCACAACTTTTATCTATTATTTATTTTGAAACACCAACTTCAACCAATTAATTTATTCAAGGTTATCTAATGTAATGAGAACAAGTGTACCACGAAACATGTCTAAATTTTGTGCTAATTTAGCATTTTTATTTCCTGAAAAACCTCTTCTTGAAAGATATAAATTAGCGAAAGACGCTGGATTTAAAGCTGTCGAAACGGGATTTCCTCTAGGTCTTTCAAAAGATCAAGTTGTAATCGCAAAAAATGCAGCTGGAGTCCAACAAATACTTATTAATATTTATACAGGTAAATCTGGTTTATTTCTTTGGAATCAGTTCGCAATGTAATAAATATTTACTTTTAGGGGATGTCACGAAGGGTGAGCTTGGCTTCGCAGCAATCCCAGGAAAGGAAAATGAATTTAAGAAGAGTATAGAAACCACAATTGACTACGCAAAAGCTTTGGGGGCGAAGAAGTACGTTTTATTTTTAATTATTTATCTTACCTGACATTACCTAACCCTAAATATATCAAATAATTAAATCTCTACTAAAAAGACGTGTTCGTTTGGGAACTATTAATATTTTTGGGGCATCAGTTAAGATCAGATCAGATCAGATTACTAAGGAATATAATTTGAAACTTTATATATATTTCAGAATTCATATAATGGCAGGAAAAGTGGAGGGAAATGTTACTACAGCCCATGATTCAGTCTATGAAAATAATTTGCGATATGCTGTTGAATTATTAGAGAAGGAAAATATTTTAGCCCTTATTGAACCTATAAACAAATATTCTATACCACATTACTATATGAACTCTTTCGAAAAAGGTAAAGTATACTAATGTGTTGAGGCCATATACTTTTATCTATATACTGCTGGCCCCTGTGGAATTGTCCGGGGAGAAGGAGATACTTTTCTGTCTCTCCCGAGGAATTAGAACCCAACGCGCATGCTCTGTACATAAAATCATGATCGAGTGGAGAGAGCAAGACGGCTGTGGTCCTTACTACGGATTCTCCACTGCTTAGATTGTGACATTTTGCTTATTATATCTTACGAAATTGTCACATTCTCGCATCGGCATCTGCTTCTAACGCATGCGCACCATTCCCTGTTTACTCGGCAAGGACAGAGCGGCGAGGCTTTCCTTCCGGTCAAAATCCAAACAAAACTCATAATATATAGATAGTATGTATATGGTTGAGGCTGGGTCTCGTGGACGCGAAATTCACAGATTTTTAGTCGAATTTCACGGTTTCGCAAATAATCAGATTTAAAATCTTATGTAATGCCAATGTCGGTTTGTTTCTTAGGGGCTATCTCTCTCTAGCAGCACGCGATTGCATGTTGCTAGAAAGAGATAGCATATACACCCTTTACCCCTCTCTCTCCAAACCACCGCTGCACTCGGCCAATGGTACGCTGCCTCCAGTAGTATATGCTCTAAGGTTTGTTTCTTTCCTACTTTTTAATGATTTTTTTACAACAAATATCTTCGTGTAAGTTGGCTGCATTGTCAAACCTCTTTTTTTAAATTTGAATATTGTAAAATTTTATATATAATCATTTCCGTGCGTTGAGTATAATAAACTATTATAATTATTAAAATCAGCGAATTTTGCATCGTTGAGCATCAGCCTTTAATTTGATGTACGAGTTTATTGAATATTGCTGAATATGACTTAAGGTAAGTTCATGTAGCAGCGATTTGCGAGTTGTGATTAACGATTTTACGATTTATGCGACAAAAATTTAACATTCTTTCATGCACATTCTCGAAAACTAGTTTTCTTTTCCTTGTGATATTCTTGGGTAAACAAAATTAAACAACCTAAATTCACAAAATATTTTTGTGATTACCTACATACGTAGGACATTAGACAAGACCAAGACATTCATAAACGATGAATGAATAAATAACAGTGATCGTCATTATGTTATTTATTGTCAATAGCGTAGAAGATTGTTAATCGCTTGGTATTTTATAAGCAAAACAAAAAGAAGTCAGAAACGATCTTGTGCCGTGAGGGCGTTATTTTAAAAAAGGAAAGACCGGAGGCCTATTTTTTTAAAGTACTTTTCAACTTTTCACTTTACAAATGTAGAAAAGCAAAGAATAATTATCTTTTATAAACATAAATGTTATGCGTTATAAGAATAAGCTGCAGCTATTCATTTTCGTGGTGCAGATTACCATCTGTTTTTTGTATATTAATTTTGAAAACAGAAACGATGGCCAGAAAAGTGAAAAGTTGAAAAGTACTTGCAAAAAACAGGCCATTTGGTAATGGAAATGAGATTACATGACACTAAGTATTTTAATTACTTGGGAATGACGGAACTGGACGGTCTGCACATGCGCAGTTTGTCAAAATTATTGCGATAATCGCCAAAAATAGAAACCGTTTCTATTTTCCCGCCCCCTATACCTATTTAAATTTTGCGATTCTCGCAATGTATTGAAATGAAGAAATGGATGTCAAAAATATTTTATTTTAATCAATCAAATTGAAATCCGCAAATCGCAACTGCATGAACTTGCCTTTATAGTTACTTTTTCCATCTCTTTTGGTCTTACTTGTGTCATATGGTAGTTTAAATCTCTTCATTCCCTCTCACTACACATACTACAACCACAGTGCTACAACATACGACTTCACTCGCAAAAAAGCCTTATATTGCTACATATTTCTAAACAGCAACTTTGAATTTGCCCTAGCGTATTTAGAGTTGCATATAGTACTGGCGCCATAGACTTTTAGATTTGAAAAACATTCTGCTGGGATGCCATTTGTTGGAACTGCTATGATTTTATTATAACTGATTGATAAGCAAGTTATTTCCTTTTTTATGTTGAACAGCAGCAATTTATATCATTCATTATGCCACAATTTTTTTTTCAGCATTGTCAGTGATAGAAAAGATTAATAGTCCAAATTTGAAGCTAATGTTAGACGTCTTCCACCTCCAATTAATCAGAGGAAATATTTCGAACACAATAAAAGAACTGATCAAATTTATAGGCCACGTACAGATAGCGCAGGCTCCAAATCGTAATGAGCCAAACACTCCTGGTGAAATTAACTACAAGTATGTACTTGAAGCTATTCAGAAGGCAGGTTACGATGACTGGATCGGCTTAGAATATAAGCCACTAGGAGATACCAAGGATGGTCTGGCGTGGGTTGGGGAACTAGGGTATAGTTTATAAAAAAAAACACCTTGTATAAAATGTATATTTTGGCACAGGCATTCATTGTATAAATTACTGTGTAAATATTTTAATCACAATATGTATCATTACTTCAATAAAATTTTAAAATATTATGTAGGCACTAATTTTGTAAGGTACATTATGGAATGAGTTTCCTCTTTTTAAATTTAAATATAAAAATCTCTCTTCAATCGGGGAGCGTTCATAGCACCGGGTTCGTACTGAGTACTACTTCTTACCAACTTTGTCTTACCAGACCGCTGAAATAAAAAGCTAATCATTAAATAAAAAAATCAATAAACAAATATTTGTTGAAACACAAAATAAGCAAAAATTTTACATTGCAAAGGCAAAACACGAATTAATGCAAGAATGATTACTTTCAAACTAGGAGAATTCCTCTTTATGTTATTTTGATGGCGAATGGTCAGTATTGGTCAATTTTGTGTAAGAAGGAGTTTAAACGTTGTGCATAAAAAATTCTATACATACACACAAAATAATTACCAAATAAACAAAACATCAACATCAACACAATTAATAATACCATTATTAACAACACCAAGTACATAGTAAACCATCACCTCTACTTCCCACACCACCAAACCCACATAAAACCGTCTCAACTATGTAACGTACAATTCTCTTGTCTTTGTCTTTGCTCAGGTCTTTTCTAACTTGAGCCCTCTTTTGTGCTTCCCTAGCTTGGTGAGCCAGGTAACTTGGGACATTCCACAGTTTCTCACCAGCCTTGAGCATAGTCTCCATAATACAGCAGCAGACTGCAGCACCATTGATTCGTTTAGCCAATTCTTCCTTCGTTAATTGCTTCATTATTATCTTATCATTATCCCTAAAAACAACCGCATAATGAAATGGTAACATTTACCAGTCGATATATTCTTACTTAGGCAATAACAGTCTTGGAGGGAAAAAAGATGGAGCGGTTATCATCGCGACGTTATGCAGATTCATCCTATTTTGTTTCTCGTGACTTACAATGTTTAGGAAAAATTGCAGCAACAACCTAAATGTGTTTCTATGTTCGATTGGAAGAAGAAGAACTAACAAGTTTAGCGCCTTAACTTTGTCTTCTGCATTTGGAATACCTAGAAGAAAAAACAAACGAGCAAAGGAAATTAAGCCTATTCCAAAATGAACTCACTGCTAGTTTTATAGAACATATCGAACAATTCCATAGTAAATATTGGATCCGGTAGGTCTCGCAACAGTTTTTTCAATACACCCGTGAGCTCATGCACTGTCGCTTGGCTTAATAAATTTTCCACCTCTCGGCGACTATTAAAAAATTTGGTTTCTATTTCATTGCACAACCCCTCTAATTTTTGCTTTTGCCCGGCTATTCGAAGAATCCCATCTTCCCTTATACACCTAGTATTTAATTGGTACAACATGCTCTGGAATATTTCGGGCACCATAGAATTGTCCGTCGGCCTGGGCATATCACGCATTACCAACGTCGACAGGTTCACACCGAAAACATTTCCACCTCAAATAAAATCAATACAGAAAAAGTGAACAAAGAGAACCAATAACTTACCTTTATTTTTACTACTGGCCTTCCTCTTTAAGTAACTTATTTTATATTGGTCAAATATGGCAACTAATTCCACATATAAAAGTGGTTTTAAATACTGATATTCACTATCACTTAACACGTCAATACTGATCCCTTCATCGGTGTCCCATTGCTGTACAAAAAAAGTTACAATTTATTACAGAACTTCATCGGTCAAACAAATGCGCTTACCTCAGTGTTTACGATATTCAGCTGGTTATCGTTTTTCTTAATTAAACCTTCAAAACTAACAGCATCATTCTCAATGGTGTCACTGCTATGTATATAAATTTTGCTGCAGTTATTATTGCTGCTTATAGTTATGTTATTATGACTCCGAGACAATTGGTTATGCAAATTTGTTGTTGTATCCCTAAAATATAAAGAAGTTATTGCAAATTTAGCACTTGTTGAAATATATACCTGAAAACTTCCGATGTATTATGGCTTTTAAGTGGCTGAAGATGGACTTCTGTCGTGGGGTCACTGCCACTTCTTTCTCTTTGGGGTGGTCTAGGAAGAGTTCCATTCTCAGTTAAAGCTTGATAACCTTTCAAAACTACATTTTCAGACCCTAAATGCGCTATATCACCTTTATCAGTCCTGTTGAATTTTTTATTTTGCAATGGTTCACTAGTGGTCCATTTGATTTTCGTTTTGAAACCGATTTGATTATGATCCAAAGAACTGAATATAAAAAAAATGCAGTTTGAAGAACACCATTAAACATCAAAGAAAATGAGAGGATTTGGGTTTGGAAATAAAATTCTTGTTACCTATTTTTCTGTAGCATGACAGTGAAAATTCAATGAAGGCATTGAATATGGCACCGTTCACGGAATAAAAATTTAAAAAAATATATCCAAAACCAACTATAAAACATGCAGCGGATTTTAAGAATAATTTCATGTGTATCCACACAAAGAATGCATTAAAATAATATTTTAACAGCATGGAAAGTAGATTCTTAGAAATTCGAAGTACATAAATATAAACTTCAGTCTGTATTACTTATCACATATTCCCTTAACATTTGGTATAATTTATACTAACAATACTAACATCTAAAACAAAGTAATCATTATTTCCTTGTTCCCATTATGTTTATCTATTTGGAATGGTCGATAAATTCCTTCATTATCACTATTGCTACCAGTAATTTGTGTAGCCAGCTTTAATGCCTTTTATGAACTTCCTGTATTTATTTTGTTGGTAATGTTGTGTTCCTTTTTAATTTATTCACAGGATATATGTTTTGCGGGCAATATACAGTTTCAAGATAAGAATGCCGACCATGGAAATATTGAAAACTGAAGATAAAATATAAAATTGAAGTGTGAAAATCCCCTCTTTATGATGTTACTATGCCAGCTAGAGAAAAAACAAGAACTCTTCTTCATGGCATCTTTTCTGTACTTCCTCATGGAAAATCAGTTTTACCATCAGTTTTTATAAATTCCTTTTTTTAAATTCAACTATTCTTGTCAAACAAATATATTTCAAGTATTTTTAATTCTTAGTCACTTGCGGCAGTTTAATCACGTTTCGAATTTATTTCAGCTACCACAGAAAAAAAAATATTTTTACATGGTATAGCCCTAGTTTAGAAAATAAGTACAAATAATCTTTCTAAGACCAAATAATGCTCAAAAATCTAATTCGATGTTTTAAGAGAAAATTTTATAACAAAAGTGCTTGCGGCAAATGAAATAAAAACACTATTATTTGAATTATAACAATGATGTTTGAATTGTATCCAAAACGCATTTAAAATTAAAAGTATTTCAAAAATATATATTTAATTATTTAAAAAAATGAAGTTGATGGCGGTAACTAGAAAATCGAAACGTCGAACGACAAGACTGTCTTTTCCGTGATAGCCTTGTTCCATCCAAAAAGATAATTGAATAGTTTGTTTTTTTCTTAAGAACTAAAAAATATTTGAGATTTGTTTAGGTCATTTCAAATATCAAATAATGGCACAACTTTTTCTAAATTGAAACACCCTGTATCTTCCATCTTTCATTCTTGACTATATATATATATATATATATATATATATATGTGTGTGTGTGTAATTGATACACATCCTTTAGATGAATTATATACTTTTTTATACTTACAATGGTGGTAATGAGGTGAGCTGTTGGTCTTCATCTGAGGTGAGATCTTCATTTAAAAGTTCACCAGAATCTAGAGAATCTGGAGTAGCTGATCTTGATCTTGTACCTGTGCTAGATGTCTAGAAATTTTAAATTTAGTTATTATTGCAAATAAAAGCCTATTCCAATTAGTGTAGTCATGTTTTAATAAAATAAAAAAATATTATGGTTGACTAATAGAGTATTATTCTCCTAAAGGAGCTGTTTAAGTTTACTGCTGAAAAGAGAGACTTTTAAGTTAAATTAAGCAGGGGGGTCGAAGTCCAGCGGCCCCCGCGTATACGCCCCTGAATAGCATTAATCTCCAGAGCTAGGGGAGAGTTAAAAGACCTCTTTTCTCAAATATTTACTTTAATCTGGAGTTGTATTCCTCTCTTTTCAGCTTAAGTGGCAGACGAAGCAGTGTTAGACGCCACCAGCTTAGAGTCAAAAATACCTCGACATTCCACGAGACATCTCTAATGTCTTGCCGCTGCTTTCTTCGAGGCTGTCGGCTACGAAGAGTTTTGTTTAACGTCCGCACGCGAGAGCGGATGGTTTGTGCCTGTTTTTCAGTTAGATTTCTCTGTCGCACTGAATCTTTTACTACATTTTCTGTTATTTCTTTGCCTTGCTGGTATAGTTTCGTCAAATCTGATAAGCCAGCTTTATGGAGAAAATCTGTTGCCTGTTCAGCTTCTGCAAGTTAATACGGAGAAATAAGAACATTTTAAAACATTCCTATTTGGAATTAAACTATATTACTGTATGTGAACCTCTTTGCAATTAAACCTGATTAAAAATGAAAGTGCCTACTTCTCTGTCAAATCCGTAATATCAGGGCAATATTTGGAGAACAGATTAGATAAATGGTTTGGGATTTTTGTTGCAATAACGTATTAACTTGATACTTTAATTTTTATTGTGAATGTTTCCCAAATACAATAAAACTTTATCATTTAAGCCTTGGCAAACAAACACTGACTACAATCATAAAAATGTGGAACAGTTAGATGAATTGAATTTCGATTTCGATCAATTCCGTCAATATGTTGATAATTCAAAGTAGAAGTTAAATATTTCCGGGGTATACTACTCAATTGAAAAACAAATATTTTGTTTGTACAAAATGGTAGCCACGTTTCCAGAAAACATGCTGGCAAAGCATAGTCTGCACATGCACATTACTTAATTCTGTTTACATTTTTTATTGCTGCGTACAACATTTCAAACAATATACTTGACTTGATAAAAGTTAATAAATTAATTAAATAACTACAGCAACTTGTAATGTTAAGTATTTTCAAATTTTAATAAATAAATATTATCAGTTTAATCTACTGTGATCAATAAAATTCCATTAATGTTGACACAAACAAAAAATAATTAGAATATTTTCTTTAGTGGACATGTACAATTTATACGGCCATATTCAACTCAAACAACATAAAATAATGATCGTAAAATGTAATAATAATATGTTTAAATTGCTATATGTGTATCTAAAGCAGGATAAGTATTACAAATTTCTCTTTAGCTTTTTACACTAAGCATCTTTATAGTGGTTAATAGATCATGTTTATTTTCATTACCTTCACTGTTTTATTTCTACTTATGTACTTTTCTTCACAGGTTCCATTCCACTTCTTATCTGTATCACATCATGTCATATGATACTTTGCAATAAATCAAAACCGTATAATACTTCCATAGATAGATTATTTATAATTTATTGAGAATGACTAATTAACTAAGTATAATAAAAATAGATTACTTGCATTTTTGTTTTAAAATTAAGAAAATGACTTGCAATGCAAATGACCAAGTACAAATTTTCATTCAAAGGTGCACAATTTTGTACGAAACAACACAGTATCTATCTAAAATTTTCCTGTATATAAAATATTTACATACGTACTTTTAAAACTAAAATGTAAACATACTGTACAACTTCACTTTATAAGACAATGCCAGACAATGACGTTAAACATAATGAATTTCTGATAAAAGGAAAGATAAAATGAGCATCATAGCAAAATTCTTACCGTTTGGTATATGCACTTCCTCTTCTATATTTATATCATGCTGAGTATCCTTAACTTCGTCTAAATAATATCTTAAAGCTTCTTCAGATTCCATCACTTAAACATCAACTAAATAATTATTTTTGAGGATACATTATAGTCGCAAATCGCCCGCTCCTATCTGAAAGATAATTAAATTATCACTTAAATAAAAGATAATAGCAAAATAAAGCAAGTTGATAATTAAACCTCGGTTTATTACTGATTACACATCTGTTGCACTAGGAGAGGATACACGCGAGATTTTCTCTAAAATCGTGATATATACATATTTCTTGTTAAATACTACAGATGCAAAAAAATCGCAATACATTACACCGAAGGGGAGGGAAACAATTTGACAAATCGGAATCTCACAAATTACCATGCCTAACTATGTACTTGCGCTTATTACTATTACTTTTTTGGACTACCGCATTGACATCACGAGAAAATAGCTACTATTTTCAAGAAAATTTCAAAAAGTTATTTTCAAAATTTGGACTTACACGAGTACTATTTAACAAAAAGAGATTGGAATTTTAAATTTAACTTAAAAATTCATATTAGAATGATTTCTGTCCATTTCTTATACCTAGCTGACCCTCTTACCTAGTAGTAAATATTTTATATGAATTACCGTCATTAAAGTATATTGTTATTACGTTTTATAATTAGCATTAATTGAATACATACATGACGTTCTGCATCATTATATTCGATTCACTAAAAAGGTCAACAAATATTGTCATAATACAAGTAGTTATACCGATTCTCCCACAACGATTGACAAAAATAATAATAAGCTGCAACATATGGGGTTTTATTTGTAACAGACTATTTTTATTCAACTGAAAAGGAGTAAAAAGTCAGATGAATGACCTCCTTCACATCTGGTCGATTAATAAAAGCTTATAAAACACGAAAAGTACACTATACAATGCATATACCATTTTAAACCACTTTGTTTTTAAGCCACTCGTCTTTTAATGCAACTAGAATAAATAGACCAGTGCTTAAGCCTTCAAAAATGGTAAAAAGTGAAAAAAAATTATAGTAGGATGAAACCCATTGGAAAAGGAAGAGAATATAACAGAAATGAAAGGAAAAATAATTTACGGGGGATCTGAGGTCGGGAAGGGGAAGAGGGTGAGTTTTTAAGGGTAAAAAACGGTCTCCCTTGATTTCCGGAAAAACTACAAGTTTTATGGAAAAAAGTTAAATGGCAAAGTTGTAGGTAATAAAAAGATCTACAACTTTTGTATTTACACTTTTTTCACATAACCTCAAAATTTATGTGAAAAATTCAAATAACCAAGTTTTTGGTTTTTTATTTTTCTTTTACAAAAAAAATTTTTTTTCACGAAATTTGGTGAAAACTTACCTATTCCCAAACACGCTGTAATTTTTTTGATTTGAAATATTTGTTTTTTCACCTTTTTTTTACTTAATATCGAAAAAGCACCCTTATTTTTCAATCGAAAATTCTCACGTCAAAATATCTGCTTTTTTAAAAACGTCGGTGGGCTTTTTCTTCGTTGAAATCTCTACTTTCTGATGATGTAAAAAAAATATTTTTTATAAAACCGTTTTTTACCCTTAAAAACTCACCCCCTTCCCTTTCCCGACCTCAGATCGCCCGTAAATTATTTTTCCTTTCATTTCTGTTATATTCTCTCTCTTTTCCAATGGGTTTCATCCTACTACAATTTTATTTCGTTTCAAAAATTATCGACCCTGGTCTAAAAATAATATAACCAAATTTAAATTAATAGACTGATTTTTAAAACACATGAAATTCAAATTCTAGACAGCCATAAGAAGTCATTTATAATTTAATAAATATTTTTTATATTTGTATGTACAAGGAGTTGTAACTTGGAATGTTAACAAACATAAACACAATGCGTTGCGAAAAACAATGAGGTATGACTATAGTATCAAATTATTGACATAAATGAGGATGTGCGGTTTATGTGAAAAGGCAAAAATACGAAGCAAAAGTTCCACAGTCTTTTAGCGGTTAACTTCTTTATTTTTGACTTTAGAATAAAAACTTCTTAAAAAAAAAAAATTTGAGGCTTCAAAAATTTTGTTTAAAAAAAAAAGTTAAAACATCCGACTTTTAAATGTATGTTTTTTTTATAATGAATGTTTTATATTGTTGAAATGTTTTTCTAATTTCAAAAATATAAATATGTCATACATTAGCTTAAGCAGTTTATTGTAGATAATATTTCATATTGACACAATGGATATTCTAGTCTACAAGTGGACTTTTGTCAGAAAGAAAACTTTTATGAACAGTTAAATTCCAATATGCAATATGTTTTCTATATATAGGATATTCCATTTTATAGTCTAACATATTCATAATTTTCAGCCTCAACAATGAAATCTAAAATTTATTCAAGAATATAAAAAATACAGGGTGTCCCATTTAATGAATGTAACACATCTACCTACCGATCACATATGCGATGTTCAATTGTTTTTCCTTAAAACAAATTTTTTGAAGCTCTCAAAAAAAAGCTTTTTTCTTCTGTTTGTTGTTGCTACGTTAACCTTCATTTTATATGAATTCACATATGAAATACATTTCGTGTAATATTTGAAATGGTCTTTATTTATCCATATTAAACCAATCAATAATGTACCTACTTACATTTTAAAACCCCTAGATTAATTATATTGTATTTAAGTAGTGCATTTTTCAATTTTTATTAAATAACATATTGAACATAAAATTAAATCCTTTTCATTTTATTCTTTACCGTAGTTATAAAGTCACTGGGGTAATAATTTTAGGTTTCCCTTCCTTTTTGAAATAGTGCAGGAGGAAACAAAAGCGAATGTTGAGTAACACATAGCCATTATGATAAAACGAAACAAATAATTAAGCATAACAGTTAAATTTATCTGTACGTGTTGAGATAATTTAAAATCTAAGGGAATTTAGATGCATTACGTATGTTTAAACAAAGAAAACGTAAATGATAGGAAATTATTTCAAATATTTAACATTCGTTTTGAGGATAACTGCAGCTCACAGATAGGTATAACCAAGTACAAAAAATAAAAATTAATTCCAATATATTCAGCATTAATATACAGTGCAGTACAGTAATATCTATATCTCTGAATTTTTTCTCAAACATATATGTTCACTTGTTCTGCGAATTGTTCCTTATATTATTGACGCACTGTATTCTTGCTATCTAGTCTCATTTTTATTGCTGTAATGTTAGGCCATGATTTAAATATGATGCAAATTTTATTCAGTGCATTTATATGTATACGGCAACAGTTACGGAATTTAAATTTTCATATGAAAGCTATATGTAACCTAAAAATAATGAAAGATGAATCGAAAGAAGTTTCAGTTTCCACCACTTTTATTTTCGTTAGAAAGAGAATGTATTATTTATAATTTGAACACATAATAAACTTAAATAGCTACTGAACTGAACATAGTCAAATCGAAGTTTTATCTGTTTACGTATGTACAAATGTATGCACCGCCGTTATGTGAATCACTGAAAAATGTATGACTTTGATACCACTAATCTAGATAGTTTGGGCAGAGTACGACCAAGCACAAAAATGATGAATACACAATTGCAGATATATTCCAAAAATAAATTGCTTTTAAAAGAGGAAGATAATAGTCTGTATTTGTTCATACAATTTTCATTGTCCTTTTGAAGCTGAAGGTCAGATAAGACAACTTCTAATGATTCATTTCAAGTGGAATTTATTAGAAATACAATAATTGATGGAAAAAATAAATTATCAGCTGATAATAAAAAATATCCATACTCTAAATATTTTTATATCTTGGAAAATGTCCAGATATTACAAAAATTTCGCGAATCAATTAGGTGACCTTCATACAAATAGTCGACAAGTTACAGAAGACCTTTCCTGACAATTGACAATTCGATAAGATCTGAAGATCCACTGTTTGACATTTAAATGGAGGAAAGTGGCAAGCAAGCTACTCTTCACTTAATATTTTAATATTTACTTAAATTATCTTTTAAGTGTAACACTCTGTATTTAGCAAATGAGGTAAAATTGTTTACATAAATAATACATATTTCACGAGGTCTTGGCCACTAATAAAGGAAAGTAGTTTTCCATTTATATCTTATAAGATATGCAAATTAAGACGTCATAACATTATTAACCTTCTTAGACGAAATTTTGCTTTCAATTTCAGTTTAATGGTTTCTGCGATGAAAACACTGTAGTCAGTCAATTAGAATAACGTTAATTCTACTTTTGTTGTTAATGTTTAATTAAGAAAAAGTGATTAACCGTTTAAAAGAGAACACGCACTTTTAATAATTGTAATTATTATGATACTAAATAGTTTCTACGGGTTTTGGGTCAATCGAGAAAGTGTACATGACACACCTTGCATAAAACTCATATATTCTTTTGCAGACATTTTTACTATATTCACAATGAATTGCTTATAATTCATTAAAACATAGAGTAAGATGTATACATGAGATTGGAGGCTTAATGTTAGAGATGTTTGAAGATCTAGTGAGAGTAACTAAGCAAATAACCTGAAGCCATTTATAAAAAAACTAGAATTTTATTCTAATTACGGTACACTATTAAGAAATTCAACTTCAAACTTGAATGAATGAAGCGGTTTTGGGTCTTTATACACGGTGATCAAATTATTCGTATAAAAAATAGATTCTCCTAGACTTAAAAACGTATTATCAAATCTTTTCTACTGTACGTTTAATTTTATGTTTGATAAATACAACCACATAAAAAGAAAATGAAAGTATGTTAAACCATATTACTGTTTAACCTTTATAAAAATAAAATGCTACCTTACTGCTTACTGTGCAAAGACAATGACTACATTAAAAGCTTTTGTTAAAGTAAAGTTAAAAAAATACAAAGTAGGTAGATCTAATTTAAATCACTTTATTGTATCTTTCTTCGAATAATGATCAACAAAATATTTAATACTTTGCATATCATTTAGCCTTTTTGTTTCCAACTCATTGCCAACTGATAGGCCATTTGCTTCGCAAATAAATTAAAAGCCACTGACCCAGATCTACGTAACCTGCAAATAATTTATTTACAACCGACAGTAGAAAAATATTGGTA